ACTCCACATGGCCCATGTCTGTCAGGTACAACTTTGAGTCATTAGACACGCTAACGCTACAGATCAGTGATGTCAAAGTAAAATACACAGAGGGCCGGACCAGTTAAATGTTTATTAAAACATATTGAAATGAACATAATTCAATTTTATTGTCATTACACTGTCACAAGTACAGAGCAACGAAATTAATTCTCTGCATTTAACCCATCCCCTTGGGGAGCAGTGGGCTGCCATTGTGCGGCACCCGGGGAGCAGTGTGGGGTTAAGGGTCTTGCTCAGGGACCCAGAGTGGCAGTCTATGGGAGTGGGGGATCGAACTCACAATCTCAGGATTCAAAGCCCTATGCCCTAACCACTAGGACGCCACTCCCATAGCCTACTGAATCGAGATCTAACACATTGTTTCAAAAAACATATATATATATTAATATCAATATTATTAATAAACTTTTCTTTTATAAAAAAAACTTATTAAGATAAATACACCAATGAAAGTGCATGCATTATAAACTGAAAATGCATTGCATTGGGAACCTGTGCGACCTGAGTAACTCAGTTAGTAACTCAGTTACTTTTTGGGAGAAGTAACAAGTAACTATAACTTATTACTTTTTCAAAGTAACACTTTGACAAGATCACTTTTATCCACCTGGATATTCTCTGGAGGCCTAAAACGCCTCTATCAGTGACGTCTGTCTGAGGGTCTATCGGGGCAATGAGCGCCTTGGTGTTTTTTCGTCTCTCTGTTTCTGTAGCTCGAAGTTTTCTTGCTCATGTTGGTTTTTTATGTGCTTACATAAACTCGTGTTTCCACTGCATTTAACTGGCCTTTTACAAACCATACAGCTTGCCATTTATGGTATCAAAATATAGTCAAACTTCTTTCCATCTTCTCCATGTTTTTCTGCTCCGCTGCAGAGCAGCAGCGCAGTTGTCTGTGTGTTGAGAGGAGAGAGAGCTGAGTGGACGGACCAAACTGAGTCTGCGTGCTGAGCCGGTGACGAGAGCGGAGGGGGGAGGAGCAAAGCGATGTAACACAGGCAGGCAGACTGGTCAAGTCTGCTGCAGTGCGTGCGGGAGAGAATAAAAAGTATTGATCTTGGTAAACAGATATTGTTCAATATCAATACCAACTTTGGTATCGATAGTATCGATCCTAGGATCGATCCGCCCACCTCTAACGTAAACATATCGCCATAATGATTGACAGTTAGGAGGACCACTTATTTAGATGATCCACCCGGAAATAAAAGTTCGTCCTCTATACCTTTAACTTTGACTCCTAAAACCGAAGTTTATATTATAATCAGAAAAATAAAAACATTCTATGCTTTGCTGTATAACAGAGCGTTTGTAATTGAACCATTAAAGCAGATTCAGGATCAGTTCGGTGACTTTTATTCAAACGCTTCATGAAGCTCAGCTAATTCTAAACCGCAGAACATAGAGTCTAAAAATAAACTGCAAACACACGTTGTCACCTCTAACGCAGCTTCCTCAAAGCTTGACCAAGCCTCCCTCTGAAGTCTGAACATGACTCAGTCAGTGTGTATCACCCCCCCCGACACACACCCCAACCCCTCCCCCTCCACTTTCTGCCGGTATATAATCTGAACCACCTCCAGTCACAGGGAGCCGCTCAGACATCCAGAGGGAGCAAAGATCAGCGCCGCTCAGCCTCTACAGTGTTCAGGAAGATAAACAACCGGAGGAAAACAATGACGATGAGGGTCGCTCTGCAAACTCTGATAACATGTAAGTCAGCTCTATAATCAGTGCTCTCACAGACCTGCTTTTCATTGATTTTGTCTGATTTCCAGTTTGTTTAATGTAAACGATTTAAAGTCATACTAAAAGACATCACTTATGACTAAAGTTGATTCATAAAATGAGTTATGGAAAAATTAAGAGGAAAATTAGTCAGTTCTAACAACTTTGAATTGGATTGTGTAAAGTTAATGTGTAGCTAAAGAAAGATTAAATGATAACTCATATTTCACAGGGGGATGTTAAACAGAGCAGAGTTTTTTTTTTCAATGATTGATTCATCGATGAAGCAAAAACATTTGACCTAAACAAGTGGAGCCTGGAAGGAACATTTGTTTCTGGCTTTTGGTATCAGGAAGTGTTTGCTCCTCTCTTCATGTCACATAATTCAGAAACCTTTAACAGTGCATTTAAAGGATGCCGAAAAGTTTTTTTTTTTCCATTTTAAGCTGCGTTCTTCTTGAATAACTAAACTGTTATTCAAGAAGATCAACCATAAGATCAAAGTTTCTGAAAGAGAAACTCTCAAAAGCGTCAGAACGGATTTGGGTTCCCACTTCCTGCACACCAAGCCGCCGTTAGCTGAAAACAGGTCTGCATGGTGTTCTGTATGCTGCAGACAGAGAGCCTCTTAGGAAATGAAGCTAGAAGACAGTGACAATGCATAACATGTAAAACCTGACTAACCTGAGACAAACTTTATAAGGATAACTCTCTCTATTATATGTCTCACTCTTTACCTTGCAGATGGCTGGTATTATTTGGTATATCTCCATCCATCTCATTTCTTAAAATCAGGGATGTAGGAAGGAAGAGTTCAAGAGAAAAACAAGTAGTTAACTTTTCCAGAGAGATTCAGACTCCATCTGTCTGTTCCTGCTTATTCTGTCAGGGTTTTAGCTTCTGTCTATCTCTGGCAGTCTTTGGGCAAGAGGCCAGGTACACCCTGGACAGGTGGTCAGTCTGTCACAGGGCAACACAGAGACACACAACTGTGGACTCTAGTTGGAAGCCAGGGTACCCAGAGAAACCCTCCACATGCACAGGTAGAACATACAAACTCCACCCAGAAAGAACCTGGGCCGGAAATCGAACCCAGAACCTTCTTGCTGCAAGGCAACATTTCTACAAATACGCCACCATGCAGCTCATTCAGACTCCTCTTTGGGAGTTCAAGATATTCCCAGGCTATAATATGAACTCACTTTTCTTAAAAGGTGTATTTTACTTGGGTAAAACCTTCTATAAAAGNTGTGGATGCCTGGAAGTCTGGATCCTGCCTCCTGTTTCTGTTCCTGCCTGATCTGGATCCTGTCCCTGTCTGTTCTGGATCCCTGACCAGGATCAGCTTCCAGCATGTCCTCTGGGACATTCTAGGACTAGACTGTTAAACCAAGTAAGTGGCCAACTCAGATAATCATCTTCTGTCAGATGATCGTGGTCACTTACCTGTGTTTCCCCTGCAGTGTTTCTGTGATTCGGCGGTGCCCCGCCCCCCTCCTGCGTGCGCGAGCCACAGATCTACTTTAGTTTTTGTTTTATTTAATAAACCTTTTGATTTTTCCTATTGACTGTCTCTCCTTGAATACTGGGTCCATCTGTCTGTGCCTCATGACAAGTTAAATGTAAAAATGAAGCATCTTGATCTCTGATTTTAGTTGGTTTGACTTATTAATTTTAATTTTGTTTTCCTCTTTTGATTAAAGTTTTTATCTGTTTCAGTACATACAAATGTTTTCTCTATTTCAGTTTTTGTTTTAAAATCAGTCAATAATTATTTATAAAGAGCTTTTTAACTACAGATCGAGCAAAGTGCTGTACAAAATTAAAAATACAAGTAGAAGGAAAATAAAAAGTGCAAGAAAACAGCCCATCTACAGTAAGTTTAGTTAAAAATTTTTAGTTATAGTTATCAATACTAACCCTTGGCCAGAGAATGCTTCAACAAACACAGTCATCACTATGTTGTATGTCAAGATTTTGTAAATAGGAGGTTATAGAGGAATGCTCTACATAGAGACCTACAGTATAGCATGAACTGGTTTTACCGCCTACATAACATTTTATATGCAAATTTTGGATTCAAAATTTCCCACAATGCAGCATGAAAAATAGCGTGCATCCATGGTCACTAGATGAGCAGCTATATCCCAGAATGCTTTGCAAAAACTCTCCTTGCAAAGCATCATGGTATTTGTTTTGGGGGTGAGAGAGAACAAAGATGTGATGGGATGCGGAGTTACACTGAGTGAACAGCAGAGATCATCTGTCCGTCCGTTAACTAAAGTCCACTATAGGCCCCGCTCTATATAGTGATTGAGGGTTGTGCATGTATTGTGTTTCCCACTAGATTTATACACAGCCTCTACTGGAAAAAAAATCTAGAAATAAGTAAACATTTCTTAAATTAAGTGTATTTACCCTTATTTTGAGTAGGTAAATGAGATAGTTTGCCAATGGAATGAGTATTTTTACTCTTAAAATAAGATATTTAGATAAAATGCACTTGAAATAAGACAATGCAATTGCGTTTTCTTATTTTAAATGTAAATTCAATTGTTCCATTGGCAAAATGTCTCTTTTATCTCCTCAATCCAAGAACAAATGTTCTTATTTTAAGAAGAAAAAAAGGTCCATAAGGATTCTAGTCTGCTTATTTCCAACCGCATTGAAAAATAATTTCAACTTTGACCTTTCAGTCTCCGCTTCCTATTCCACACAGACACCAAAGTTGGTATCGATAGTATCGATCCTAGGATCGATCCGCCCACCTCTAACGTAAACATATCACCATAATGATTGACAGTTAGGAGGACCACTTATTTAGATGATCCACCCGGATATAAAAGTTTGTCCTCTATACCTTTAACTTTGACTCCTAAAACCCAAGTTTATATTATAATCAGAAAAATAAAAACATTCTATGCTTTGCTGTATAACAGAGCGTTTGTAATTGAACCATTAAAGCAGATTCAGGATCAGTTCGGTGACTTTTATTCAAACGCTTCATGAAGCTCAGCTAATTCTAAACCGCAGAACATAGAGTCTAAAAATAAACTGCAAACACACGTTGTCACCTCTAACGCAGCTTCCTCAAAGCTTGACCAAGCCTCCCTCTGAAGTCTGAACATGACTCAGTCAGTGTGTATCACCCCCCCCGACACACACCCCAACCCCTCCCCCTCCACTTTCTGCCGGTATATAATCTGAACCACCTCCAGTCACAGGGAGCCGCTCAGACATCCAGAGGGAGCAAAGATCAGCGCCGCTCAGCCTCTACAGTGTTCAGGAAGATAAACAACCGGAGGAAAACAATGACGATGAGGGTCGCTCTGCAAACTCTGATAACATGTAAGTCAGCTCTATAATCAGTGCTCTCACAGACCTGCTTTTCATTGATTTTGTCTGATTTCCAGTTTGTTTAATGTAAACGATTTAAAGTCATACTAAAAGACATCACTTATGACTAAAGTTGATTCATAAAATGAGTTATGGAAAAATTAAGAGGAAAATTAGTCAGTTCTAACAACTTTGAATTGGATTGTGTAAAGTTAATGTGTAGCTAAAGAAAGATTAAATGATAACTCATATTTCACAGGGGGATGTTAAACAGAGCAGAGTTTTTTTTTTCAATGATTGATTCATCGATGAAGCAAAAACATTTGACCTAAACAAGTGGAGCCTGGAAGGAACATTTGTTTCTGGCTTTTGGTATCAGGAAGTGTTTGCTCCTCTCTTCATGTCACATAATTCAGAAACCTTTAACAGTGCATTTAAAGGATGCCGAAAAGTTTTTTTTTTTCCATTTTAAGCTGCGTTCTTCTTGAATAACTAAACTGTTATTCAAGAAGATCAACCATAAGATCAAAGTTTCTGAAAGAGAAACTCTCAAAAGCGTCAGAACGGATTTGGGTTCCCACTTCCTGCACACCAAGCCGCCGTTAGCTGAAAACAGGTCTGCATGGTGTTCTGTATGCTGCAGACAGAGAGCCTCTTAGGAAATGAAGCTAGAAGACAGTGACAATGCATAACATGTAAAACCTGACTAACCTGAGACAAACTTTATAAGGATAACTCTCTCTATTATATGTCTCACTCTTTACCTTGCAGATGGCTGGTATTATTTGGTATATCTCCATCCATCTCATTTCTTAAAATCAGGGATGTAGGAAGGAAGAGTTCAAGAGAAAAACAAGTAGTTAACTTTTCCAGAGAGATTCAGACTCCATCTGTCTGTTCCTGCTTATTCTGTCAGGGTTTTAGCTTCTGTCTATCTCTGGCAGTCTTTGGGCAAGAGGCCAGGTACACCCTGGACAGGTGGTCAGTCTGTCACAGGGCAACACAGAGACACACAACTGTGGACTCTAGTTGGAAGCCAGGGTACCCAGAGAAACCCTCCACATGCACAGGTAGAACATACAAACTCCACCCAGAAAGAACCTGGGCCGGAAATCGAACCCAGAACCTTCTTGCTGCAAGGCAACATTTCTACAAATACGCCACCATGCAGCTCATTCAGACTCCTCTTTGGGAGTTCAAGATATTCCCAGGCTATAATATGAACTCACTTTTCTTAAAAGGTGTATTTTACTTGGGTAAAACCTTCTATAAAAGGAGATGTTTACTTTCTTTTAACTTTTTAGTATGTCATTCAAAGAAAATAAATGAAATCAAAGAACACTGTAGGCCAACCAGTTGGTTACACAACAGATAATATGGTTTATTTCTCAGTAACTATAACGTCTGTAAACCATTTGTGGTGAAAACTGACCAAAATTCTATTTGCACTGAATTATAGGTCTGGTGTTATCTTCAGCATTTGCAACAACAGCTACAGTTACAATAACTGGATCCTCAACAACAGTGTCTGCAACTCCTTTATCCACTAACAGTCCCTCCGCTCCAACCAGCAGTAGCCAAACGGTACCTACAGTTACAACAACTGGATCTTCAACAACAGTGGCTGAAACTACTGTATCCACTAAAAGTCCCTCCACTCCAACCAGCAGTAGCAAAACGACAACCACTGTTACAACAACTGGATCACCAACAACAGTGGCTGAAACTACTGTATCCACTAAAAGTCCCTCCACTCTAACCAGCAGTAGCCAAACGCCTAAAACCTTGATGCCTACAGAGACCACCACATCATCTGAGACTGAGATGAGCACTACAATGTCTCCTACAACTTCATCATCACTCTCACCATCCTCCACCACCTCAGGGCCTCAGACAACGGACACAGCCGTCACCACCACCACACCCCTGACCACTCCACCAACTGAGAGCACCCAAACCACCCTAACATCCACTAACCTCCCCAGTCCAACCAGTGCCATCACCGTGACCTCTGACCAAACGACGACACCTGCGAGCGACACCACCACCACCACCGTCTCTACCTCCACAGCTGGTTCCCCAGCCAATAGCGTATCCTCACAACCAGCGAGCTCAACTGGAGCTCCGACCACCACACCATACAGTTCCTCTACTGCCAGGCTGACGTCGCCCAAGGCCCCAGCCAGCAGCCCCACATCCGAAGGGGGGGAACAGAAACCGAAGCCTCTCAGCTCAGGTACGCGATCGATTCATGTATTTTCATTATTTATTAAGAAAGGCAGCCATGAGGTACAGTAGCCTTAGTGATCAGTTTCAGTCTTGGAAGACCAAGATCCGTCTTTTAAGCCAAGTTCATAGATTTTTATCAAACTTGAGGTAAGAGCCTTAGGAAGGTCATTCCAGAGGCTTAATTTTGTGCCTGTTGATCCATTTCAGACCCGTTAGATGCGAGTTAGGAGGCGATGACGTTTTAACATCCACTTCAGGCACTAGTCTTATTACTTTTAGATCCAGTTAGTGTAAAACAATTAGTGTAAAATACTGACACCACTGGCAGAAAAACAAACCCCACAACATGATAACACCAACACCATGCCTTACAGTGTTCTTAGGCTTAAAGGGTCCCATTGATTCCTTTAAACATGTATTTTTGACTTTTGACGAGATGATCAATCTGTCTGGTCTGAAAATAAACCTTCAGTCCAGGCGGAGGTTGTGTCATTGTGAATTTGAATAGGAACAAAATAAAGGGAAAATGAAAAAAACATTTCATGAAGAACTCAGAATTATCCTACACTGGAAAAACAATCTAGAAACAAGTAAAAATGTCTTAAATTAGGTGTATTTACCTTTAAAATGCACTTGAAATAAGACAATGCAATTGTGCTTTCTTATTTTGAATGTAAATTGTCTTGTCCCATTGGCAAAATGTCTCTTTTACCTTATCAATTCAAGAACAAATGCACTTGTTTTAAGAAAAAAATGACTTATCTAGATTTTGATTTTTTTCCAGTGTACGATGATAAAATGCCCCCATTTTAAGAAAAATATATTTACTTTTACCTTTTTTTTATGTTCACCCAATCTTCTCTGTGGAAAACTAAACCATAAAACCTCTCTGTTGCCATGGGAAACCGGAGTTTAAATTCAGGACTGGTTTAAATCCTTTGCAGTTAGAAACCTGGAGACGACCTGGAATAGTCTCAAAGAGATTTGAAAATTGGTTTTGAAATAGACAGCAGCCCAAGATAAAGCTTCTAGAATAGTCTTTCCGTTTGCTTTCCCTCAGTCTTAAATCAAACACGTTTAACTCAGGTTTAAGTGAAAATTCATGCCTTGTTTGTTGTTTGGGGAAGAAAAAAGCCAAAAATATGTGAAAAGTTGAAGAAATTTAACTTTATACTGACTCTCAAACAACATATTCAAACCAATTTGCTCCAAACGAATGGACTTTCATCTTAATAAACGAAAGCGTCACCCATTAAATCCTAAACACGCCTCATGAAGGTAATAATCACATAAAGACTAGCTGATCACCTTTTACAGGTGAAAGCCAGCTGAGTTCTGCACTGTCCCACTGCTCTGACCTTGTTAAGGAAAAGTTCATGCTGTGGTTAATATGTGAGCCAGTTTCTTCTCACACTTCCTTTATGAGATTTATGCACGAACAAGAGAAAAAGAAACAAGTCCTTTTGATAACTGCTCCTTCTCCCCGTTTGGTTAATCCGGCTTCAGAAAGTCACGGTTTTAAACTCAAACCCCTGCAAGGCCGGTGTTCGAAAACCAATAGACCTTTACTGAATTCACCTAAATAAAATGGTTAAACTACCTCACTAGCATGCACACTGCAGAAAGGAAGTAAAATCCCCTTTAAAAGATTTTATTGGCACATCATTTGAATAGGTAAATAAAGGAACTTTCAAATACAATATGGTTTAACAGTTAAAAGAAAACAGGTTCATTATCTTATGTTTATTTGCCCTAATTTTGGCAGGATGATAAATGATTTGCCAACGGAATGAGTTTGCCCTTAAAATGAGATTAGTTAGATATTATGCATTTAAAATAAGATGATAAAGTTGCTTTTTTCTTATTTTAAACATCAACCATTTAAGTCAATTAACATACACTGGAAAAAAGATCTAGAATTATGTAAAAAATTTGATTATTTGCAAATGGAATTAATATTTTTACCCTTAAAACAAGATAATTAAATAAAATGCACTTAAAATAAGAAAATGCAATTGTGTTTTCTTATTTTAAATGTAAATTGTTTTGTTCCATTAGCAAAATGTCTCTTTTACCTCCACAATCCATTAACAAATGCACATATATTAAGAAAATAAACTATAAAAAGGGTATATACATATATTTCAAAAAAGTTTGGATTATTTTCAGATAAAGTTTTGTACATCTCTGCTAATATTGGAGTCAATTGTGTTGCAGCAGATATAAATCTAGAATTTGCAGAACACTAGCTGTTCTGGAAATGCTATAGAGCTGGAAATGCAAATGACTGGAAATAATCTCTGTACAGGTTTTAAATTTTCTGAACCTGAAATAAATCTTTCTGACATTTACTGCAAGGTATTTTCCTCTGCTGTTATTTTATTTGCTGTTTATTTCATCATGCTGCTTGTTATGGAAACCTTAAGCCCATAAAACGTCCAGGTATCGGCCCACCCAGTGTTTATTTCCTGTTAGCGGGAACTGAACCTCCTTCCCATCATGGCTGACGTTCCAGCCCTGTACGAGAAATATAACTCAGATCTTTTACGGTTTCTTGCCTCACTGTACTTTGCTATTTTTATGAGTAGCCGCACTGTAAAATCTCCCGATAAGTGTATTTCCCTTAATTAGAGCAGGTAAATTATAGAATTTATTAATAGAATAAGATAATTCACCTATAGACCAAAAAAAAAGAAAAGAACTCTATTATCTTACTTCCAGTGCATAATATCTAATTGTCTTATTTTTATGACAAAAAATACAAATTTCATTTATATCATCTGATTTACCTGCCCACATTAGGGGTAAATAGACTCATTTTAAGACAATTTTACTTTTTTTAATTCATTTTTTGCAGTAATTAAGCTTTGGTTTGTTTCTTTGCATGATTTCAAATATTCAGTTTGGGATCAATTAAGGATCAAACTAAAAAATAAAAATAAAATAAGAAAATCCTGCTTTTTTGCAGAAGCCTATCAATAATCTGAGCTGGGATTATTATCTGGAGATAAATTTGGGACTAGGATTTCAGAATTTCACTTCACTGAAAGGAAAACAGTATCATAAAAAACCCAAAAGATTATCTTAGTTTTACTTCTTTTTTTTTTTTTTTTAAAGGTATTAAGGAGTATAAACGGAAACTAAAACTATATCTTTAAAGTGAACAAAGAGTATGACCAGGATAAAGGGGGATTCATTAAGCAGAATCAGGGGATGCGTAGAATTCAAGGAGTCAAACAGAGATTGGATCTGACATCAAAAGTTAAAAAAAACAGAATAATATAAAAAGGATGAGAATGGTTCCCAAAGAGGGAAAAAGAGGGGATTAGGATGAGTGGGATGAAAGGGGTATAAACTAGGATGAAGGTAAAACGGAGGAAAAATAATGAAGAATTATGAGAAAGATGAGTGAAATGAAAAGTGTTCCATGCATCTTTGGATGCAATGTCATGAAGCAGATATCTTCATGTGTTACCAGCCTTTAGGAACAGAAATTTATTGCAGAATCTGTATTTATTCACTAAATGAAGACGGACTAAAGCTAAAATGAGTTAATGTGACAACAGAGCAGCAGTTAATCAACTCTAAAGCATCCACTTTTTGTCAACATAATGCATTTTAGTTTTTTAATTTCCTCTCCTTAATATGGATTGAGTTTTTTTTTCCCAGTCTAGTTGCAAGCAAAGAAACTAAATAAGTTAAACCTAAAAGAGTTTTGGAAGTTACTTGTTTGTTATTTCTTTTCATATGAATTCATATGAAAAGTTTGAAGAGTTGCTTTTTTAGACACATTCTCTCCACTCCTGGGTGGCGGAGTTTCCCCTGGAGGATGGAGTGAAAACACGTTTCTATTGGTCTGCTTATATTGGGCTTGAAGTGAAGAGAGTTTGAAAAGAATGCAACTTTTAAAACTCAATATAAAAAGGTGAAGAAAATAAAATTTGAAAACATAGACCCTGTAAAAAAAAACGTTTAAAGAAATAAAATATGAAATAATGAAATAAAAAGAATTTACATAAAAAAATTATTTCATTTATTTAGTAACTTTTAACAACACGTAAAAAAACAGCTAAATTACTCTCCAAATCTTTTTTTTTCCTAGAAATTTAGCTTCTGTAAATTTTCTGGAAACATTTTTCCTGTTCCCATTTACAAAATTATTATTATTAATATTTTTTTTGCTTACAATACCAATAATGCAACTTAATTCCCTCCATACAGAAATGTACAGATTTTGTTCTTATGATTCTTTTAGTAT